AGAATTAACAATGGAAGAAGAGATTAAATTACCCTCAATAAACATCAATGGATTAAACTCCCAGATCAAGAGGAAACAAATATTAATCAAACTAACTAAACAAAACTTTGATATTATATGCCTACAGGAGGTACATATCCAAAAACAGCATAAAAAATATCTAGAATATCCCAAGTTGGGTTTATTATTTACAGCACTGGCAGATCAAAAGAAAAGCGGGGTATCAATTTACGTAAAAAAAGGGATAAATGCAAAAAAAAATCTATGCAGATGAACAAGGCAGAATTTTAATGATACAAATTAATTTACATAAAAAACAATTACTATTAGTGGGGATATATGCCCCTAATGATAACCAGAATAAGTTTTATAAGGGATTGTATGATAAAATAATTAGTGTAGGTGAAGAAAATATTTGCTTGATAGGGGACTTTAATGACATTGTTGATGTTAAAAATGACTATATTAGTATAGAAGGGACTAGGAAGGAAAAAAAGAGAATTTTACCCAAAATTTTTTTTGATTTAACACATGAGACCAATTTGGAACATATATGGAGGAAGAGGAATGCAAATGAGAAGAAATATACGTTTTATTTGAGTCCACAAAAATCATGGTCCAGAATCAATATGGTATGGGTTAATGGGGCAATTGAGAAAGACATTAGTGAAGTAGAGATAATACCTAATATATGGGCTGACCATAGCCCGGTTAAAATACATGGAAAGGACATAGTAAAAGGAAAAGGAGATGGATATTAAATTCACAAATAACAAAGGAAAAAGAATATATCTCAAGAATGAAAAATGAGTTAGAAACATTCTTTAAGGTTAATCTAAAGCAACATACTAGTTTACAAAATTTATGGGACACTAAAAAGGCCTTCGTGAGAGGCATATCAATAGCCTATATAGCTAAGAAAAATAAAGAAAAATGGAAGAAACAGAACGAATTACAAGAAAGGATTTAAAAAATTGAATATGAGCTCCAAAAAGACCCAAAGAATATGGAAATTAAGAAAGAAGTAGGGATGATTAGACAAGAACTAAATTTGATAGATATTGAGGAAAATGCACGTAACTTAAAAACTCTTAAACATAATTTCTTTGAATCAGCAAATAAACCAGGAAGGTGGTTGTCCCATAAATTAAAAATAGAGAAAGAGAAAAGACTAATTCAGCAACTCAAGGATGAGGAAGGGACAGTGTATTATCAGATGGAGGAGAAAAAGAGAATTGCGCAAAGGTATTTTGGCGAGCTTTATAAGCAAGAAGATGTTAGGGAAAAAAACATTAGATACTACTTGGAGGGAAACGGTCTGAGTCCAATCTCAGAAGAAAACAGAGAAGTACTTCATAAAGAAATAACATTAACAGAGTTACAAAAGGTGATACAAAAACAAAAAAATAATAAAACACCAGGCCCGGATGGTCTACCGGGCGAACTATATAAAAATTTATCTGAAATATTTGAACCAATATTACTGGAACTATATAATGAGGCATTAACGCATGCTAGACTTCCGAGGTCCTGGTCCGAGGCATACATCTCCTTACTTGCAAAAGATGGCACTGATCAACAATTAATTGTGAACTATGGGCCAATCTCGTTACTAAATACGGATTATAAGATATTTATGACAATATTAGCAGAAAGAATGAAACCAATTTTAAGTGAACTTATACACACAGACCAGAATGGTTTCCTGCCAAATAGACAAATTAAAAACAATATTAGGACAGTACTAAATTCGATTGAATTCTATGAAGCTCATCTAGAAAAACAGGCAGCTTTAATTTGTTTAGACACACAAAAAGCATTCGACAATCTTAATTGGAAATTCATGCTATATCAAATTAAAAAGCTGAATTTTGGCACTAATATAGAAAAAACACTACAAGAAATATACTCAAATCAAAAAGCAAGTGGTATTATTAAATGGAGACCGTACTGAAGATTTTGAAATTGCAAAAGGAGTGAGACAAGGGTGTCCATTATCACCTCTGTTATTTATCTTGTCTTTAGAAGTGTTGCTAGCTGCAACCAGACAAAACCCAGAGATTTATGGAATTAAGATTAGAAATGAGGAATATAAAGTTCAGGCATTTGCTGATGATTTGGTATTTGTAGTGGAAGATCCAATGAATTCGGGACCAATATTGTTGCAACAAATAGAAAAATTTGGGGAAGTAACAGGATTTAAAATAAATAAAAATAAAACTGAGATGATAGTCAAAAACTGTACAACAAAGCAGAAAGTAGAATTGGAAAATACAATAGGACTGCAAATAGTAAAAAAGGTGAAATACCTGGGAATTTGGATATCACCCAGATGTTCATCATTAAAAGAGGACAATTATGTCAAACTGATTAAGCAAATCAGAAAAGAATTGGAATTATGGGCCAAATTGAAACTGTCTATATTAGGAAGAATAGCAACGTTGAAAATGAATACCTTACCAAATTAATATATCTATTCCAAATGATTCCAATTAAATTAGGGAAATCTTTTTTTATAGAACTAAATAAAATGACATCCAAGTTTGTCTGGTTGGGCAAGCAGCCATGTATTAAAATGAAACTATTACAAGATAATAGGAGCAGAGGCGGTCTAGGACTACCAGAATGGGAACTTTATTATCAGGCAGCGGTGTTGAGTTGGATTAAGGATTGGATTAAATTAAGAGACAAGAGAATCTTAACATTAGAAGGACATGGCCTCTTGATAGGTTGGCATGCATTTTTGTGGGAAAATAAAAGTAATATACATACCTATTTCAATCAACACCTAATAAGAGATTCATTGATTACAATTTGGAAAAAAATCAAAGGTAAACACTATACAGAAATCCTACGATGGCTGTCAACCATGGAAGCCATAATCCATCCAAATAGATTAGACCTACGGAAAATGGTAAGCTATGAAGAATTATTAGATAGCCAAGGAAAATTAAAATCAAACCAAGAACTGAAAGAAAATTATAATCAATTGGTGGCCATATTTGCAAATTCAAAATAAATATTAAAAAGACTCGAAAGATTTTGGATTTGACAAAGGGCAGAACCAGATAAAATATTAATGGGACCGGAACAAAAATTTATAACTAAAATATATAAATATTTATTAGATTTTAAAACGGAAGAGGAAATAGTCAAAAGTACAATGATTGCATGGGCACAGAATTTTGGATACACTATAGAATTAGAGGAATGGGAAAAAATATGGAATATAAATTATAAATTAACAGTATCTGCCGCATACAAAGAAAACATATATAAAATGTTTTATAGATGGTATTTAGCCCCAACAAGATTGGTAAAAATCTACTCCAATATGAGTCCTAAATGTTGGAAGTGCAAAAAAGTTGATGGTACATTTTATCACATGTGGTGGATGTGCCCCGAGGCCAGGACATACTGGATCCAAATTAAAAATTGGTTAAAAGAGATTACTGGCTATCAGATTGTGCTCCTTCCTATTAGGAATTATTAAAGAAAGACGACCGAAAGAAGTAAAATACCTAGTGTTACATATAACAGCCGCCAGAATAGCCTTTGCGCAGGTATGGAAAACACCAAATACCCCTAACTAAGAACTAATAATACACAAAGTAACAGAAAGTGCTGAGATGAATATGCTAACAATGAAATTGAAAGAAAAAGACGACTCTGAATTCTTTACAATTTGGAACAATTGGTATAAATGGCTAAAAAACAGAACCAAGAAGGGAGACAAAAATGTTAATTGAAACAACCCTTAAGAAAGTAAAATATAATTTTGCAAACTATATAAAGATATAAGAATAGTAATTATAGCTAAAGATATTATTTAATAGTAGATAAATGTAATATAATGTATTATGATATTTAAATCAAAATCTTGTGTAGATGCCAAGAACGTTGTTGATACCATGATGTTTTACGATGTAAAAAAAAAGAAAATAAAAAATATTTTTTTAAAAAAAGAATGGTACACCAATTCTATATGTATGTGAGAAGAAAATTATTTAGGTGTCACACTGGGTAGTTTGTAACTCCCTTTCAAGACCCTTATATTAACATGATACAAACATGGGAGAAACTTTACTGAGAACCAATTATAACTCACAACCCATGGGTACTCGAACTAAAACATTGTCTCTCTAGTACAAATTTCCCCTGAATCTTACTTCATTGCAGAACAAAGCTAAGGAAGCAGGTTCCACACAATTTGTGTGAAATTTCTTCCATTTGTTTTTCTGCCAAGAATTAAGAGTATAAAATATTGGGGACTGAGATAGGAAAACTCCAGCTCTCTTTCATTGTTGAGTTCACTGAGGTCTCTGAAGCTTTTTCATTTCTTTTTCCCAAATGGTTTGCATGACAAGCTATTGGTTTCTCTGATAAACCATAAAGGGCCTCTTCCATCTGCTCCTTGTTTGTGTCTAGAGATAGCCCTCCCCCCCATCTCCTCAACACAATCTCCTACATTTAACAATATAAAATTAAACCTTCATGAAAAGGAAATTCACGTGAGTAAACTTTGTAGTTGTTTTTACAGAAAATGATAGAAGTAACTGTTTAAGAAATTCCTTGTTAAATTCTATGTTAATTCGGGAAGAAATCTCATATATCCCATGGGGCTTATCTCAAATATAGCATATAACTCCAAAACAATTTAAACCATTTATACCGGTAAATTCAGAATGACATATAACTGCCACATCCAATTATCTCATTTTGAGTATTTTGAGGTCTGAAATTATTGCCATATATGATTCTTCCCACTGGCAGATAACTTACTGACAAAAGCATTCATTTATTTCCTAAATTGACTGTGATGTTTGTGTTGCCTGCTTGGTTGCACAAAATTAAATATAAAATAACCCGTAAAAACTCACAACAGAACAGAATCAGATAATGTCAGTGAATACCTCTGTTAAGTAAGAATGCTTCCTACGCAAAAGTATTCAGGCTGTGGGAGGATTATTTTTTTTTACAGAAAATTTCAATCTGACAGGGATTATAATTTAGAAGAAGTTTATTTTGATCCTAAAATAATGCCCAAATAAATAATAAATAATTTATTATAAAATAATAAATAATTAAAAAAAATAATGCCTAATAAATAATACTCGAAAATAAGTATCATTATTTTACTTTTCCTAGGTATGGAAAAGTGAAATAATGATAACTGAAGGAGAGAATTCAGAGGTCACAGTGGATATGAAAAGGCATTAGAGGCAAATTAATAAGTCACTTAAAACTTAAATTAGAGTAATCTTTTCGAGGACTTAATAGAATCTTCTTATGCAAAAGCATCTATGGGACATATTCCATTTCATGCAAAAGGAGATGCAAAAACGATGGACTTGAAGAGTGGAAAGAAAATGCCCCTTCAGTTCTGCTCAGAAAATCCACATCTGCAAATACCCCGTTTCTCCAACAATACGGCCTCCCCCAATAGGAAGTCCCAGCATGTTTTATAGGCATGAAATGAAATTAAGCCCCTCCCCCCAAATCAAGGCCTATATTAAAACATGCGAAATGGGGGGGAATGGTGGGGGGGCTTGCTGTTAGGAATGGGGGGGAATGGTGGGGGGGCTTGTTGCACACCCGGATATGGTGCTGCCTGCGTTGACCCCGATACGAAGTGCCCCACCAACACCGAGGTCAACATCCAAGCTGTCGCCGCCCTCCTGCCCGAAGATGCAAGGGGGGAGAATTAAGTCACCCCCGAAAAGACGGCCTAGCCATTTTTTCGGGGCTCAAAAAAAAATAAGACCCGGCCTTATTATATGAGAAACACGGTAGAAACATTACACAAGATTCTCACTATTTATTTAGTAGTTTCTATCACAGTCCAGAATAGAGACCCAGTCTGGGGAAATAGTTATGGCGCTAGGCTAGAAACCAGGAGTCCAAATTACAATTTAAGTCCAAACTCAGCTGGGTGACATGGGCTAGTGAGAGTCTCTCCGCTCTAGGAAGCAGGCGAAGGCAAGCCACTTCTGAAATCTTGCCCCAAAATTTGAAGAGGCTAGTCCAGGCAATTGCCAGGAATCAACAAATAATAAAATATAGAATAAAAAATAAAATAATAAAATATAATAACATAAAATAATTAAATAAATCACAGCCCGGACTAGTTAATCAAGATGGAACAATCACGTATAGACAGGTAGAAATAGCTTAACTCTCAGGAGTCGGAATCCTTTTGTTGTTGTTCTAGTAGTAGCCAGAGTAGACTTTACTCTTTGTCCCTCTATGGAGTATATATAGTTTCTATTCATTCATTTAAAAAGAAATTTCCCCCTCCCCAGTCCCAAAAATCATCTGGTTGTGATCAAATGCCTATAGACTTAGGAAATAGGGAAAAGGCACTAATGCAATTCGGGTGGGAAACAAAGCCATTACGGAAGAGGTTCCAGAGTCCAGAGGAAGTGAGGTGGGGAGAAGATGGGTCTGAGAAAGATTTTAGCTATATACAAAAATTATATATGTGTAGTAATTTGCAAGATTTTAGTAAATTAGCTTACTCGATTGCTCAAGAAATCCAATTGGTACTTGAAGTTATGAGCCACAAAGGGCTTGACCGTAGTAAAACTTGCCCAGTATTTTTTGTATTAATTATCAGTGTATTGTTTAATCAGACATTGCAGGATAATCTTTTGAAAGATCTTGCCCCAACGCTATACCAACAATCCTGAAGCCTGAACAGAAATTCCAGAGTTCATCAAGTACCATCCATTCTGATACTGAAATTTAATTATTCATCTATAATTACTAAAATCATTACATCTCTGCAATATTTTTGTTCTAGACTGAAAAATGTATCTATAATAAATAAATGACATACCCTCAAAGCTTCAATCACAAGATCTCGTGCTTCCAACTCCCCTTCTAAAATACTCAGAAGCATCCTCAATTCTGATTTGCTGAGACTGTCCACATCGAATTCTCTTTTCTGCAAAATAAAAGTAAATAAATGAGGTTCTGTGAAAATGTTCCATCTAATAAAATTACTCCTGCAACAAGGTTCATTTATAAGTAAGGAAGAAAAAAAAATGTTTTTCCACAAGAATCAAGCATATGCACTACAGCAAGCAAGAAACTGAACAATTCCAAAATGAAACTGCAATGATTCACCAGGGATTCAACTTTAAGATAGTTAGCCAGGGACTGATTTGCTGTAAAATTTTGGCACTTCACATTTTAAAGCTGCCTACAAGCATATTTATCAAGAACATCCTTTGAGCAGTCAATTTTGCTTTTTGCCTAACTTTTGAGGGGATACAACTAAATCTGAATCACATTTAAAAAGACTATTTTAACAGATTCTGAATTTCAAAAGTAAAATAAAAAGTCTGATACTGTTATTATGTCTACTTTGTTAGAAAAAAAATATCTTTGTAAGCACATTGTTAAAGAAAGTGTGGAAATACAGTAATATCTTGGTTAGGATTAGCAATATATACCATGCCAATATCAGGCAAATTGTATTGTAATTATATCCAGAAGTTATATTGCAAACACTATTCTAGGTTTAAATAATATTTTTAAATATGAAGGCTTGATAGAACTTTTGTTGCAAAGGATCATACATCTGTTGGCAAAAAAAAAAAAAAAAAATTGGAAAAACCATATAATAGATATTTGCAACCTTAGAAAGTTTAAACCCTTGCAAATATATACATCTCCTGTTCAACTAGAAAAAATAGTGTGAGTAGACATTTTCATTAAGTTTCTTTCCTTCAATTATAATCTACTAAAATATTATTTTGCAATTTTTGATTGGACTTATTTATAATTTGACCTATCTCACATATGCAATCTCATGAATCATGCAATTTTAAAAAAAATCCA